ATTTACCTTTATCTGTTTAAAATCACCTCTTGCTTACCTTTACATCGTGTATTGTTGCTGAATAGGCTGCCATTTAAGGGACAGTAAATTATTCTATACCCAGAGGCAAAGTCGTCGCACTCTTGAAGTCGCTTCCAACCGATTTCGACAACATGTGGCTCTCCTGTTACAGTGTCTACCGTGAAGTTTCTCGGCGCTATAGAGGGCACTATTAAACGAAATAATTTAAACAGAGTATTATTATTGTGCATGTGGCATGGACAAAATTATCGCCCGTCCAGGGGGCACAGTTCATTTTTGTTTTACTTAAATAAAGCCATGTGTACCTCCCCGTCGAGATTTGTTGACGTCTGAATACATTTTCTTTTACATGTCAGAGATAATATAGAGATATGATACTTGTCAGGCTCCCAGCCTCCTTAAAGGTTACCGGATCTGCCAATCAACATTAAACTGACAAATTGTCAGATTCCATCTCATGCAGTAGAATCCGCTTGCTATAACAGAAAAGTAAAATCCATATGAGTGAATGTAGACCTGTGAGAACTATTTTATATTTTTGAAGTTAAAGTAGTACGGGAGCTCAGCAGACGTCTATACCTATCCTAGCTCTTTCATATCGTTGTAAATGTTTTAATTTGGTGCATTTATCTACCACTTAAAAACCAAATGAGAATAATGAGAAACATATTGTACACATTGATTTTCAAGTTCAAGTTTTTTTTATCTTTCCATATATTATTGAAAAAAACAAAAATTCCCTCAATTGTCATGAAATATCGCTCTAACTATAAACTATATTTTGCTAATGACTGTCTTAATTAAGATATGCCCTGAATGCAAGAATCGTCTTACCTTCATGCGGAGTAACGATTCTTTCAGATTTCATCGAGCTTCCGTGTTTGTTGAATACCTTAACCTCGACAGTGTACGAGGTACCTGGCTTGAGGGGCGAAATTACCTGCTGAATAACTGGGGACGAAGCTGACCATGGGATTGTGACGTCGAGCCTGAAAGACAGCGAATACAATATTGTTTGTTTCAGCAAGGTGCGTAAAAATATGGTGAATCGGATACTTCTGTCTGCAATGATATCACGATTTCCATATTTCACTACATATTTCAACAAAAAACCTCAACCTCAGGACAATTACCCCTGGTTACCCTTGGACAAATACCCTTAGGACGATTAACCCCGGACAACTACCACAGACAATTACGCCGAGCATCTATCCCGGACAACTACCCATTGAATGAATAAACTGAATTACCATCGGAAGTAAGACCTACATAGTTGTTTTCTTGATTAGTTTTTCGTGGTAATTGTCCTAATGATTAGTTTTTATCAGAGACAAGATGCCCTGGATAGTTTTCCTGGGTTATTGTCGAAGGGGTAGTTGTCCGGACATAGTCAGGGATTATTCTCCTTCTTGTAGTAGTACGGGTTGCTAGTCCCTGCTTGTGGAGGCGCGATAGCTCAGTCGGTAGAGCAGTAGTCTCGTAATCCGGTGACCTGGGTTCGAAACCAAGTCGATGCGCTAGTGCCCTTTGGTAAGGCATTAATCCTCATTACCAGGTCTCTCGGAGAGGACCTAAAGCCCCCGGCCGTCTGGTTGCTTACAAGCATTTAGGCTTTCTCAGCAGTCGGGTAAAATAACCAGCACCATGTATTAATTATCATTGAATCTATCCCTTGATGCTTACCACTTACCATGTTTCCATTTTGTAGTTTCTCCAGCGGATGTCGTATCTAATGATGACTCCGTTAGGTTGGTCTGGTGCGGGTATCGAAAGGGTGATTGATGTCGGAGTGATCGTAAAGTTTGCTCTTGGAGTTTGAGGCTCTGTAATGAAAACAATGATATCGTGGTTATAAACTCTAAACATAAAAGCCCAAACACATTAAAAAAGAAAGACAAAAAGGAAAGAAAACATGTAAAGATTACCCCTCAAAAAAAAAAAATGAATGAACGAATGAATGAAATAAATGATAGCTTAATCCACCAATTTACTGTTGCAGACAAAAGTGAAACGTCAAAATAAACCAAATTGTCATAATATTGTCAAAAACATATTTTCCTTATTTCGATAACCCCTCTTGAAAAGCGTCTATAACATTGGTTTTTTTTTTTTATAGATGTGATTCTCTCATTTCGGTCATTTACTTACAAATAGTCATATTGTGTATGAATTGTGAAAAGTACTTACGACTGGTCATATTGTGTATGAATTGTGAAATGTACTTACGACTAGTCATATCGTGTATGAATTGTGAAAGGTACTTACGACTAGTCATATCGGGTATGTTAAAGGTACTTACGACTAGTCGTATCGGGTATGTGAAAGGTACTTACGACTAGTCATATCGGGTATATGAAAGGTACTTACGAATGGTCGTATCAGGTATGTGAAAGGTACTTACGACTAGTCATATCGGGTATGTGAAAGGTACTAACGACTAGTCATATCGGGTATGTGAAAGGTACTTACGACTAGTCATATCGGGTACGTGAAAGGTACTTACGACTAGTCATATCGGGTAGGTGAAAGGATGCCTTCCCTCCTTGACCAGCACTGTTGAATGCAGATATAAATCCAAGATATTCTGAGAATGGGTCCACATCTTAGGAAGATTAAATGATACACACTCATGTAGATTTAGATAAAGAGCTATATGCGTGTTGATAATTATGAGATGTTTGAATAAATAAATAGATGTGTCATTCATTCACTTCAATCTCTTTGTCTTTGCTCAACACTACACTTATGAAATTGACCCGTTTGTCATATTTCATTACTTCATTTCAATTTTGATTAGATTTGAATTTTTTCCCTTTCATTTTCTGAATTAGATCAACATACAAGTAAAATACATTTTCCTCAAAAGTCTTCACTATATCAGCAATCCCTGTATCCACATTTGCACCAGTGTATCAGGACCAGTAACCCCCCCCCCCCCCCCAGCAGACCATTTCCCCCGTACAAATAAACTCCCATTGAACTGCCTCGGACAACCATCCCTAAAGCTATGGTCACAAATCTGAGCAGCAAACGACCGATCAGTAGCCTGCTCGGTCGCTGCTGGAATTTAGGCATCGCCCAGCAATTAGGTCGATGTCCGGGTGGCGACCGCCCAGGCACGGAGCGTATTTTGGGCGGCGAGTGAAAAGTGAGCAGGCGCCGCCCAAAATTTAACTCCGCGCTAAAACTTCAGCGGCGACCGAGCGATGCCCTAAAAACGAGCGGTGCCTGGGCGGCCACCGCTCGGTCGCCGGGCAGCCGCCGGGCAGAATTGGTTAAAAACTCGCCGCTCGGCCGCCGAGCAGGCTACTTTTTGGTAATGTGACCATAGCATTAGTCTGGGACAACTAATTCCCAGACCAGAATATGTACCTCCGGACAACTGCCCTAAAGAACAACTAACCCTTTGGACAACTTAAAGGCATCGTTTAACAATGTTAAATCTGAGATGCACGACCCAACGTGTTATAAGTGTTTGTGATATGGTGTATATTGAAGACTAACAAAATCGTGCTTCTTAATGATCCAGAAGTGCTTCAAAAAAGTAAAAATCCTTGAGTGACCGGTTTTACCATATACGTTTTCCCCAGTAGACTGTAGTGAAAACCGTTAGGCAAACGCAAAATTTGGTTTTGATTTCCAATCATTAATATCTTGATAATCAGACAGGCGATCGGCTTGTAAAAGTCACGGGGTTTCTGACTGACCTAAAGGTTTATAATTATCATTGCAGCATGAGCTAAATCCATGATTTTGTTTCAGAATCTGAGACAAAGTTACCGGATACCTTTAACAATCCTTCTACGAAAATTACCTGACAACTATTTACCTTTGTTGATTAGGGATAGTTTATTTTACCTGGAATAGTGAAAGATGTTCCGTTTGTAGTCCAGTTGCGTGGCAATGAAGGAAGCTCAATTACATAGCCCCAAGAGGACGTCGATACCAAACCCCTATCTGGTCCCTAATGATAGAAGAAAATTGTTATTTTGGAAAGAACAACAACAACGACAACAAACACAAGGGCTGACAATAACAGAAGTAAACCCTTTGACTACTGATTTGTACCCTCTCATCGACTTAATACATGAACCATTTTGATTCCCGTCAGTAGTGGGGTAAATAAGCCAGTTCGTAAATAGCTTCGGAACGCATGACCCCAAAATATCCAAAGATCTTTTACACGATGGATACTTCCCATTTGTGCATTTTAGAACAATCACTGCCGGGGTGATGGAGGTGCTTCATGAATACCTTTGCTTTTCCTCTTAAGAAGAATACTTCCACCTGTGTATCAGATAAATGTACTGTCGGTGCATTAATGGATACTGATTACATAACTTTCATGAGCACGATACCAGTATTCGTGTCGATGGTATTACAATTTGGGAACGAATTAATGACCTTTATCTGCCCATGCGCAAATCCTAATTACGAACACGTTTATTGATAGCATGGGGTTTCTGCCAGCAGAAATTCTATCCGATGAAAGGAACGCCATATCCATTTCGACCCTGAATTGAATACTTGGCAATAACCATGAATAACCAGGAAATAAAACATTTTCCCGGTGAATTTTAATCACATTTCCACAAATACTACAGATGCTGAGTGTTCTTCAGACCCCAACAGTCCACATGCAACATCATATTTCACTTCTGAATCCATTATTCATGTATCTTGTATATATGGAATATTTATTAGGTTTTACAAAGAAGGGAGAATGGCGCCTTAAAGGGGTGTAGCATGACGAGACTACGTGTCTTTCCCATGGCCTGACTCGGGGCCAATCGGGTATAAAATACTACTACGGACCACGTATACCACAGTATTCATGTGCGTGCAACATACGCGAAACTGAAGCATGAGGAGAACTTCGATCTGTTTCGCGAACGGTAGCGCGCGCTGACCGTTAATCAAGTCCGTTCCTTTTAATACGTGCAGTTGTCCAAAAGAAGTCGTAGATGGCGTTAACCAGTATTTGCCATGCTGCACCCCCTTTAAAATGAAGAAAATGTGTTTCTTACTCTCCAACTCCAAGTGAGACGGACTTTCCTTTCATAGGGGTGGCCTGCAATCCTCTGGCTGTCCTGTGTTATATGCTCTACAAGCCCCGTCGGTGCTGTCTCGTAGAAAGTGAATAAAAAAAATTACCTTTACAGTGATAGATATCAGTACTGCCTTTTGCATACGAGGCGTCATTTTCCTGACGCATGATTGCGTCAGTGGCCAGCACTATATTTGACCCTCTACTTGAGAGGGGCCACAATGTGAATGCGAAATGAATAGAATATATTCGTTCATTTCCTTGAATAACTTTTGTATGGGTTTATTGCATTTCAGTAACGCATTAAATGACGCATCGTGACAGGCAGTGTTACTTCTATTGCGCTATTAGCTTTATCAATCAAGCCAGTGAAGGCAACTAGTGCATGCATCATTAATTCAAAGATACCTTTGCACTGTTTGTTTTGAATCCTTTATTTGTGATATGCTCCTTTCACATGGCGCGCCAAAGGCTGTGCAAGGCGCTTGACGCAGTTCTACGTAACCAAAATGACGCCTCGTGTGCGACGGCTATTTCGTCATACACACTAAGAAATAAGGGTACAATTCTGCTGCAATAGCAGCACCCTCTGCCAAATACGCGTAGGTGGATGCAAAACTGCACCTCAATTGCACCCTTATTTCTAAACGTGTAATTTGTGCTGCTTACGTTGCAATTTTATCATATGTCATACCTACACATTAACGTAATGTTGACAAATTGATATCAATATATATACATTTTATCTTAATAAAATATTGATATTCCTTTTACATAATGAAAGAGTTAGCTCAAGATCGAACCGGCTCGGAGACTGTAATGAGGCAATTTTTGAAGGCACTATCCCCACCAAAATCACCACTAACGATAATGTTACTAACTATTAACTATAGACAAAATTTCATGCAATGTTAGTGCTTCAACAAAGAACCTTAGCTTAATCAAGATAAAGGTTTATTTCGAAAACGAAACGATCCCCTCTCAAAGAGAAATTTTAACAAATGATGACTGTGGAATTAATGGATGCGTAATCGCTTTAACCGTCCTAAGGGATAGTTGTGACCGTGGGGCCTTAAAAACCTATAGTAGGTTATTCAATTAATTTAAGAAGACCAGGTATACCCCTGATACATCATATGTCTATAATGTATGCTAAGGCTCTACGCCTTGAATACCAATAAGCTTCCACCCACCCACGCGCACACCCACGCACACACACACCAGTGTACCCACACCCGCTGTCTCTCTTTCTCTTTCTCTCTTTTTCGTTCTTTTCCAAGTTTGGGGTGACACTGACAGTATGTATATTGGATGTGAAAAAGGTTAAGCTGCATTATTTGAATTAATACCGAAAACTGTCAACTGATGATACTATTTCTGCTACTGCTGCTGCTGCTACTACTACTTCTGCTACTGCTATTACTGATACAACTACTAAAACTACTACTACTAGTACTATTACTACTACTACTGCTGCTGTAACTAATACAAATACTACTAATAATAACGATGATCATAATTTGATAGTGATGATGATGGTGATAACGATGATAATGATAATATAAACAAAATAAATTATTAAATAAATGAATAGATATTGATAACAAAGACATGTACAATGATGATTTTGATAGACATAAAAAAAAATCAAAATAATTAAGATTATGTTAAATTACCTTCTTCCAACGTTCCGACTGTGACATTTTCTGACCAGGAACCAAATGAAGCTTCTTGCCTGACCTTTGCTCGGATGCGTATATCATGAAGAGTACCTGGTGATAGTTGCCCTAGAATCTGGCGTCTTTCCGTATCACACGTTTCGCCATGGTTGCCCTGGTTCTGAAGCAAAAAGAAAAATATTAAAACAAATTTCGATTTAAAAAAAAAAGGAATAAAAGAAAATCATTTGTTAATATCAGTAATGGCTTTTTTATACAGCGCTCATATCAGTATGGGCTGTGAAGCTCACTGTGCTTCATAATTATCACCACCATTACTGGTCAGATATAAATAGTGCCCTTTATCGTTCAGTTTAATCGTCCATTACCATGTCCATTATAAAGGAGTCGCATATCCTCCGGCTCTTTACCTACAAATGTATTGGTTTATTATATATGAATTATGTAATATATTTCATATAATATTTATGTAATGTCATGCGTCTTAGATAAATGTCGAATTGGCTTACCAATGCAGTATGCCAGGTATTCGTTATTCTGGATGCATACTGCAGTTGAACGCAGAAATATGCACACGGACACACTTTATCGATGTAAGGTGGCCCCCATCGGACTTCTATCTCTTTGGCATCAATCACTGTAGCGTTTATCCCACTCGGGGGCGCCATGATTACTGAAGAAAATCATAGAAAGAAGAAATTCACAGAGGAATTAGTTTTGTAAAGGGAAGGGAGCGCGTGCCTTTTAAAAGTATTGAAAGTGATAAAGGAAAATTAAATTCAAAGAATAAAGAATTGAAAATATAAATAGAAATAAGGGTATTATTACATTTTCAAGGTTGGAGAGGCACAAGTCCGACGAAAATTCTCTGAACGAGCTTTGACTTATCTGTCTAATTTGAAATATAAACATAACGTTCAAAGTTTATCTGGCATGTTGTCGTCAGGGCTTAAGTATAGCGTGGAGGGCTTGAAATGTATTGACTGATCACCCAATTCACCAATCAGACTCCGCCTCCAAATACTTTAACATATTCGTGGATTTGCATAAATATATTTGTAGCAGATCCAGGAATCTCTGGCAGGGGTGGGGTATGTCTGAAAATTCTCTGACAAGCGAAAAACAAGTTTATCAGCCAACGATTCTATCTTTATTTCTTCGTTTCCCCTTTTTCCCCTTTCTCTTCCTTTTCTCCTTTAGGGGGCAGATGTCTCCTGTGCTCCCTGGATTCCCACTTATGTCAACTAATTTGATTATTAAGTGATTATGAACCATAAATAAAATGAATAAAATCATGATGAACTATAAATCACTAAAAAAACACCAACACCAATGGGATGATTTTTCTTTTTGGGGGAGGGGGGGGGGGCACAAATGGCTCGTGCTCCTTCTAAAGCCCATTTTGGCATACACCAACAAAAAAAGGTACCCCCTTATTTCTGTCCAAAAGGTATATAATTACAACCTTTTAGGGTGTGAGGGGGGGGGGGGGGGCCTTACTTGTCAGAATTTTATTTTTTCGGAACTGTGCCCCCAGCACCTATTTGAAAGAATCGAGTATCCGCCCCTTCCAACTTATTTTTTAAAAATATCCTCACCTTCGGTTTCAGTGAATCTCAGGGTCTCCATGATATTTTTTGTTCGGGAAACAGCGGAGAATACTATGTTCAGCTCTTTCCGACAACTTTTACCTTTAGTGGCATTATGATAGACCCTGATCGTGCATGAAGCTGAAATCGACGAAGCGTTTTTAGAGCACGCTGCATCAAATGGCATGGAACTAGAACAGGGAAATAATTGAAAATTGATCAAATATGCATTAGTATAATCACTTTGTGCTACCTGGAGAATAATTGATTGCCTTACGAACAATGAAAGCATATCAGATGATGCATTTGAGTCAGGACATTTTGATGCCTCAATGGCAACACAAATTGCCTATTCTAGTACCATGGGATTCGGTCCCGTATGGACACGTTATAGGAAGAGGAGACATAATTATTCCCCCTTCGATGTTTGTCCTCGTGCACTCCAAGGTGATGCTTATATTGTTATTTTTTGTACAGGTAGTTTAGAACAAATTAAAAGATGAAGAAGCAAGAAGAACATCATTGACTAAGAAATAAAATAATGGAATTATAAAACAGCACCAAAGTTATATGTACGCGGCACTAGACGTCAAGATATCACATTTCCAGTCTTTTGTTGGTTGTATGGCACCTGTTCCCAGTGGCGGATCCAGGGGGGGGGGGCCTCCCCTGGGGAAAAAACGTTACCCTTTTTTTAGAGATGGGCCCCCTCCCCTGGCGCTCATTGGGGGGGGGGGGGCGTGATTTTCAAATTTTCGAGGGCCCCAAAAAATTAGTGCTCACTACCCCCCCCCCCCCCCCCCCCCCCCACTGAACGAATTATCGGCCGGCTGTTTCGCCGTCAAATATTTTCTCACGAATTGGGCCCCCTCCGCTGCCGCCTGCTGGATCCGCCCCTGCCTGTTCCTAATGCCTCTTTCACACCTTTGCGTATTTGGCTTGCGTATTGCTGCGTATTCACGGCAATCCGTTTTAACATTTATTCCTATTTCTTGATATCAAGAGATAATTTATAAGTTTATTTTAACTACCATTTCGTTATTGAAAAAATAGATCCTTTCATAATGGTAATAATAATATAGAAAATCAATTACTTGGGTGTGCCAAAAGCAAGGTAAGAGACAGCACTTATTGTAACATCTGCATCCGGGTATTGGAAATCCTTAGGCGACCAGATGCAAGCTAGTACAGACCCGTTGGAACTGCTGCAGCTCGGATTAGACTGGGTAGAACCGCCTGTGGATAAACAGGAAAAGTAACAACAACATAAAATAGGTACAATTACTTATCACCCTACTTGTTGTTAATTTTAAGGAAGGTACAGGGGTTCTTTGATTGGAGAAGGGGTGGAGGGGGATGTAAGAATGGGTATAAAATCAAATTTAAATTCAGTGAAATAGAATCCACAATATTTGGATTATTTTCAATACACAATGTACATATCAATTTTTCTAAATAAATAGGAGCGATTGAAAGAGGGGTGTATAGTAAAGGGTGTGAGGGGTGTTTAGTGTTGGAGGAAGTGTAACAAGGGGTGCATATTAAAGGGTGTGAGGGGTGTTTAGTGTTGGAGGAAGTGTAACAAGGGGTGCATATTAAAGGGTGTGAGGGGTGTTTAGTGTTGGAGGAAGTGTAACAAGGGGTGTATATTAAAGGGTGTGAGGGGTGTTTAGTGTTGGAGGAAGTGTAACAAGGGGTGTATAGTAAAGGGTGTGAGGGGTGTTTAGTGTTGGAGGAAGTGTAACAAGGGTGCATAGTAAAGGGTGTGAGGGGTGTTTAGTGTTGGAGGAAGTGTAACAAGGGGTGTATAGTAAAGGGTGTGAGGGGTGTTTGGTGTTGGAGGAAGTGTAACAAGGGGTGTATATTAAAGGGTGTGAGGGGTGTTTAGTGTTGGAGGAAGTGTAACAAGGGGTGTATAGTAAAGGGTGTGAGGGGTGTTTGGTGTTGGAGGAAGTGTAACAAGGGGTGTATATTAAAGGGTGTGAGGGGTGTTTAGTGTTGGAGGAAGTGTAACAAGGGGTGTATATTAAAGGGTGTCAGGGGTGTTTAGTGTTGGAGGAAGTGTAACAAGGGGTGCATAGTAAAGGGTGTGAGGGGTGTTTAGTGTTGGAGGAAGTGTAACAAGGGGTGTAGAAAGAGTGTGTAGAAGAGAGGGTGTGTGGAAAGGGTTCAGCATTCATGGAGTCATTTGATATCCATTTAATACCCGAGTGAAGAGTGACAAATGCAGTTTAATGTTTAGCCAAAGGACATAAGTGCCGAGGCGGGACTCGAACTTCGAATCATGTGATCTACAGTCCGACGACGTAACCACTAGACCAGTTTTACTTGTGTACAGAGTGTATTAGTCATGGTATTGGTCATGTAGGGGAAAACGTATACGTGTCCCAAATCTTTAACGAAATACACGTGTGTGTATACATCAGTTTTGCATGTAGAGGACACAGTGCCGCTTAACTTTATCATATTGCGTGAGATCAAAATTTAAACATGTTTAAAACTTTTTACTCTTTTGAAGGATTTTCTTAGACTTTCACTGGCTTCACCCTCGTTTTCTGCGTCTATCAAAACCAATTTCATAATTTAATATCAGGATGGTTTCCCTTTAAGTATTTTCATCTAATCCATTAAATATCCCATTATCATAATTATGATACGAGTCATTTAACATTGCGTGCATGCGCGAGTGTTGTATATGCCTTATCGAAAATAACGTCGTTTTAAATTCTGCGGGATAACGAATAATCAACTTGTAAATAGGTCACAATAATAGACTAATTTCTTTTCACATCCGACTGCTCTAATGGGGTGAGCGATTTAATATCTCGTTTTTAATTTGAAAACTGGATGCGAGCCACTATTTTGGTCGGATGGAAATGCCAGTCAAACCCCGTTAAAAACATTCAGTGGCGTAACATATACCATCGGTCCACTTATTAAGGGACTACTGCTGTTGATGAAAGGGGGGCACCAGCTATACTATTTGAAAAAAAATTAACAGAAAACCGGTACCATTGTTGAAGGTTGAAGAAAAAATGCCTAATTTTTGTATGAAATGTTACTTATTGTATTCCTTCTACAGTACCTGTAACCCATTAAAAATCCTGAAAAATTCTCAAACCACAAAGATATTTATGGTTTTCTTTAAAAGCGTCAATATGTAACTCCCTCTAACAGTATTAAAAAAAAATCCTAACCGTTTTCCATGAAATAACACATAAAACAGGCTTTTAAAAATCTTTCAACACTTAAATGTTTGGAATGTTATATAGAGCCAATTCATTGTGACGATACACATTCATCTAAAATTCGGTTTAGTTATAATATAGTCGGGAGAATTTAAGAACCGATCAGATCATTTTTTCTTAACTTTTATGATTAATAATGGTCTGTTTTCCCTCAAAATTTAGATAATCTTTAATTCTACATCTAGCAGTGAAGCCACTATCTTAGCACCATTTTTTGTCAATGTAACCAAGTCCTTTAATTCAGTGCCGTAAGCGTAGGTCCAATCACTAAGGAGGGGGGGGGGGGGGTGAGGAGGGGGTACTGGTGTCATGAAGGTCCCTAATAAAAGTTTTTCAAATATGGTGAAATCCTGCATGGATCGGTATTATTCAATAACAAAACCGTCTGTGTAATCCTACGGTCATAAGTCCAGTTGTAACTTATGAAAAATGGAAAGCGAATAATGCCGATTATTGGGCGTTGAATGTAAGATTTGCAAAATTATTCTGAAATCAGTGATTTGATAAAATAATCAATTTGGCTAATCACTTCCATGGACGAAATCAGTCCAAAGACTGATTTAGAAGATCAATTCGTAAGATTGAATTCATCATTGAATCAGTGATTCTGTGACAGATCACAAGTGTTACTTTGTGCCATATAGCCATAAAGCTTTAAAATTCCATTCGAAAATCTATAAATCTATTGTTCCACGATAATTCGGTCCATATTCGGAGAGAAAATCTTAGATGGTATTTACCAAGCACGATTGTATTCATAAAATCATATTTTCATTTTTATTTATTTATTTAGTCTGCAAAAGAAAATTAATACCCTACCAATCATATGAAATTTGGTTATTACATTCAAAGCTTCACATGATTTTATTTATCATGCAAAACATAGTAAAATAAAATTAAAATGCTATTTGCAATTTAATATAAGTATATTACAAAACATATCCAATGAAACAATACAAATATAATAGTAATGGCACGAGAAAAGAGGAACTAAATAGAAGCGGAGCTTGTTCAAGTATAAGTTCATCAGAGGCTGTTTTACAATACGTCTTAAAAACAAAGTATACATTGAAAATCAATAAGAAAAAAATTATACAATAAAGAAATTATGAATTTGGGGAAGGAGATTAAAAAAGGGGGAAATGGGAAAAATTGAAGAAGGCAAAAAAGAAAGAAAGAATGGAAAGGAAAATGAATGATTGCAAAAGCTCTAGGAAGAGGAGGTTAGATCAGCAGAAAGAGGGAAAAAGGGCTTGAGTCGAGAGTCAGTGATTTAAATGCATGGTGACGATGTTCAGTGTAGCCTATGAGCTTTACAGAATATTCATTCATGCTTTCTTTAATACCCTTTCACATCAACATTTCAAAATATTTATGAATCGGAGACAAACTCCATTTATTTTCACACTTTTCAATAGAGATACGTCATAAAGGGAGTGGGGTGAAAAGTTTGACAAAACATTGTGATGGCAGCAAGTAATGAAACGTATGAGTCAGAAATTGTAAAGTTGTAACTAGCAAATTATCGTAACCAAACTTGACGCGTTATGTGAGAGGATTTGCTGCCAAACAAAATTATGCAAAAATCACATACTGAATGTTACAAAGTGTCAGTTATGTGATAAATGTATTGATCTTATATTATTGACGTCAGTTTGGCACCTTATGCTTGAAGTTGACTTTACCTCATCCCCTCATATTGTCTTGATCTCTATGTATTAACGCTTGCAGCTCAAAGATATGACATTTTATATCTTGGTATTACATACGAGTGTGCAGCGCATTACGCTAACTTTAAATAATGAAATATCAAAATAGCCATCTATAATGGATGTACAAATTAGGCTTTAAAGCGAATACCATCCCCCATTTGCATTTAAATGAAAATATGAAAGGGAATATCATGATGATTTATCAACTAATTAACATCTCTTTGTTCTTGTTTAATATTTGTTAAGCAGGCAGTATTTTGATGTCCCCGTCAATCATTCCAATTAAGACACGCTAAGGCCACGTCAAGGGCACTTCTCGTATTAAGTACGATCATTATTTTCTACTCATATAACGGATTTCTTCTCTAGTATACCAGTAACTTGTTTTAAAGGGATTGGGTATCTTTGTCAGATTCTGAAACAAAATTCTTGATCTATGTCGCATGTTCATGTTGCAATGATAATTATAAACATTTAGGTCAGTCAGGAACTCACTGACTTTTACAAGCCAATCGCCTATCTGATTATCTGGATATTTATGATTCGAAATCGAAATTTAAAAATTCGTTTTCCTAACGGTTTTTATAACACTACAGTCTACCGGGCAAAATGAGTATGGTTAAACCGGTCATTAGAAGATTTTTATTTTTAAGGCTCTTCATGATCATTTTTTAAGGGCTTCAATATTACACCATATCGCAGACACTGATAACAAGTCATGTAGAGCCGTGCATCTGATATTTATGCCTTTTAATCGCAGTTCCGATTTCGTGTTTCTTCTCCATATTATCTAAAATTTCTCTACATCCTGGAGCTTATTTATTCTCAAAATAACATGTTAGAAACATATTTCTAGTTTTTTATTAAAAAAATTATCAAGATACAACAAAAAAATGTTTACTTCGAATCATAGGGTCACCATTCGTAAAACGGAAACGGAAGATCATGCAGTCAATTTGCCGTAGGGTTTTCATAAAAATGTCAGTGTCGGGCAAATTGGACCAGACCATGGACCTACTACGAGTTTGTAGATGAGAGGGGTTTATTTCACAAACGTTGCGTTACCCCCGATATTTGATGAATTAAGGGGCATGTAGGTCAGGGGGATGATTCACTAACAGCTAAAAATCTATCCCCCAGATTGCTCTTAGGAACAATATCGTTCCCAGTTAGTGAATCACCCCCCAGGTATAACGGACGACCAGACAATACGTGATGACCGATGGTTCGAAGTAAGCCACAGCATGATCTAGGTGTCGTGAACCGATATTTGCTCCGGTTACACGTGCTTCAGGCCTGTTCACGCCAAAAGTATAATGGATTAGGGTTGCTATCGGGTTAGAGGTTAGGTGTAGATTTAGGTTCACGTATAGGGCCTAAAAAAGATGTTGTATTGCCCTTTAGGTGCCAAAAAATTGGGTCGGTCGGTCGTACATCTTAAAAAAAAAAATCTCTCTTTTTCCTCCCTCTTTGGGCCGATATTTCTCAGTTTTCAATATATTTGGTTTTTCTAAAAAACGGTGAAGAATTTTTTTTTTTATTTTAAATCCGACCGTAGATTTCAAGATTTTTGGGGTCGGTCTCAAAGGGCAATACAACATCTTTTTATTTTAGGCCAAGTCGTGATAACGGTTGGGCCCAGGGATAAAGTCGGTAACTTATTTCATTTTTTTCCTTTTATTTCCACAATAACAGCAAATCAAATTTACATAGCTTTTAGTTTTACAAAGTCATTCCAATTAAAATATTAACAAATAAGAAATATACATCAATGATATGGTACGTGCAATGCAGTAAAAGTATACAATTAGGACTAAGAAGATAATTGCTTGCTGTATTGCGGAGGAAAGCATCGCTTGTAATTTAGGTTTCCTAACATAAAATATCATAGTATCATTAAGTAGAAATGCAAGGAAAAGAAAAGATGGGGAAAACAGGACGAAACAACAAGACAAGCAAGAATTCGGAAAATATACAAAGAAAAAAAGGGGGGGGGGGAACAAAAAAAAAATCGGTTTCAGATCACACTGAGGGCAAATCTCTATTTAATCAAGATCGCTAGATGAAGACAGAATAAACGAAATAGACGAACAAGCTGAAGATATACCGGACAATTAACAAGAAAAGCGAAAAAGAAAATTAAACTTACCTTGTGGGAGAAAAATTGCACATGACAAGCTACATACGTAGACAAGGAGGTGGAAGGAGAACACTTTATCTTGTGTGGCGCGCATTTTCAAATCCAAATTTCTCTCGCTAACGCAATGAGCCTCCTATCGGTTGCCAACAAGCGATCACAGTCCGAGATCGAACGCCTGCAAGTTCAACAGCTAAATGAGCTTAGAGTCAAGTGAGTTTATGATTTATACACGTGGTTTGTGTTTAGTCCCCGCTCACTAGTAAAGTCAGGATCGTAATTTCAAATTCAATTGTTGACGTCACTTCACGTTCCTTCCCCGTACGACCCAGTGGTACACGTGTGAGAAAGAGTGAATGGTTTACGCTGCATTGTGTACGGAAGCCAGTCATGACAATAGGGTGGTGTTCGTCGATGCAATTCTGTGCAAGGTGCAGTCATAGTTGATTACCCCGTCATCTCAAACACGATGGGGCTCCGGGGAGCTCAAGGGGCGTGTCTCTCCCAACCCCGCAGAACAAAACAAATATGGGGAAAAGAAGCATGGACTGATGACTGATGACAAGGGGGCGTATCCAACTTAGGGCATAGGCTCCGCCCCTATTGAAACCCTAAAATAAAAATAAAATCGTATTTTAATTGATCTAACATATTTACCACAACATAGAGAGAGAGAGAGAGAGAGAGAGAGAGAGGGAGAGAGAGAGAGAAATTATAGGGGAACAGGATTAGGGAAAGGGAACATTATAAGATCAGCAATAGCCAGCTTGGGTTTGTCTCTCCTCTGTTTGCCAATTTTTTAGGGGGGCGGGGTACTATTACCTAGGGCAATAGTTTTAACCGTGCCCCTCAAAGCAGTCAATATTTGTAAACTTAACAATTAATGTCTTACTGTCTATCGTAACAGAACATGGTGTTATGACGTCATGCCCGATAACGCCCCGCCCCTCCTGTTGCATGCATGCATGGTTACAAGAGAGAGAGAGAGAGAGAGAGGGAGGGAGAGAGAGAAAAATTATAGGGAAAAGGATTAGGGAAAGGGAACATTATAAGATCAGCAATAGCCAGCTTGCGTTTGCCAAATTTTTAGGGGGGCGGGGTACTATCACCTAGGGTAATAGGTTTAACCGTGCCCCTCAAAGCAGTCAATATTTGTAAACTCAGCAATGTCTAATTGTCTATCGTTACAGAACATGGTGCTATGACGTCATGCAAAATAATGCCCCGCCCCCTCCTGTATCATGAATGGTTACGAGAGAGTGTGGGTGTGTGTGAGAGTGAGAGAGAGAGAGAGAGAGAGAGAGAGAGCAACCACCTGTCACGGGAAGATGTTGTTCATTGATTCATAATCAAATATTGCTGTCTTGTCAATTGTGACCTATAGTGCGTGTATTAAACAGCCATGGGCAAGGTTCACACGAGTCAGTTTGATGTTTTAGTTCAAAACGTCGAGATTATCTTGTATAGTGATAGCCGTGTAGACGCACTCGTGGTTATGTTTCTAACAATGACTACAAGCAGCCGCGGGGTCCTCCTCACTTAAAGTTATTTGCACCAAGGTGAAGTTGTAGTTAACAAAAACTGAACACTCGTTGATCATGCTCGATCGTGTGAACCCCGTCGACGGTCGGTTCAGGAGGTCGTTGTTTAAAACGTCGAGGTTTCGCACTCGTAAGAGTTTAAAACGATGACCCTACCGTGTGAACATAGCCAAATGCACATTAAACCATGGACCTGCCCTGCGACAATTTTTTTGCGGTCAATTTCCTACCCTAACCAACCGAAAATCCTTAACATATTATCCTTGAACTTAACCTATATACTGCATGACATTGTATTGATGTTACGTACTGGATGTTATTTTCAACATTGATGTTACTTCCCGGATATTATTTTCATTGATGTTACGTACTGGCTGTTATGTGATTGGTGTTAAGTTCATATGTTCTGTGGAGAAAGATTATGTATCATTTATGACCAATAAATTCATTCAATACAAACAAAAAAAAAAAAAAAAAAAAAAAGACACCTCACGTACCTTCAACCTAAGCATTAACCCACGACCCAATTGCAACCCTATAACCCCAACTCCAAACCTCGCCCATATCTTTAAATTGAATTGAAATTCAGTTATTACCTTCTCATTGACAATTATAAAGGTAAATGATAAACAAATATGACAGCACAGTCAATCAATTCTAAAGCAGAAGGAGGCGAAAACCGGGAAAAGCAATGTTTGTGTTATTATTATCATTATTATCACTATCATCATTATTATTATTAGACATGGTATGACAAATCATAGAGACCAACTCACTGCCAGACTATAGCTAGTTACAGTTGGTGGTTTGAACCCCTATCCCCCTATACCCCACACAAAGTATGAAATCAATATATGCAATTTTTTTTTTTTTATACATTTATATTCATATACCAATTTTTTTATTTATACTGGGTCTAATCTTTGTATCTGTATAATAGAATCGCTACATTTTCTGTACCGAAGTTACAAATCTGTATTTAACCATTTATTTTTGATTATTGTTTAAATGACTGCAATTATCTTCCGTGGCCAATGTTACAGTTGTCTCCTCTTCCTCTACCACTTCTACTTTCCCACCTCCTTTCTTCATGTCACCCTTATCCTAACCTCTCAATCCTCTTTTCCCTCTTCTGCTTTTGCTTTTGCTTCTTATAATGGTTCTCCTTTGTTATAGTCTGGTTGAAATGTTAAAACCTTTTCCTTAGAGTAGCTATTACCTAGAGTATTTTTTTTTAATTCGTACAATTTTTCATATTAGTATTTATTTTCTTCATAACTTCGCCTATATCATTAGTAGTTTGTATAATGTGTAATGCTTGAATATTGATATCGATACATTATGATAGTGTTATTCGCACTACCCTCTGTCTATCATCTTACTATCCCTACTTGAATCTTCTTCTTCTTCTTCCTCCTTCTCTTCTACTTTTTCTCTTCTCCTTCCTCTTCATCCTCTTCTTAATCTTACCATCCTCTTTTCTTTGCTTTCTTTACTTTACGCCACCATCATGTTCTTCTTCACTTCTCTTTATCTCCTTTATATATAAAAATGAGTTAGGGAGAAATAGGCATTTTAAAGTTATTTTTATTTTTTTTAACAATCTACTCATTCAAGTTTAGTTCATTAATTTGAGGTTATTTGATATGAATGTTTTTATATACTGTATTTTACATTTGTAAAACATTGCCCAATTCGGCCTTGTAGGCCGCGATGCATTGTTGTTCTTTTATTCTCAATAAAACCATTATCTATCTATCTATCCACCCGGAAATCTAACAAATATCATATGCCGCCATCTAGGACAACAACCCCTAGAGGAAAAAAAGAATATGACATTCATTAGCTTCAACATGTCTCTGCGACGAAACAACAGAAAATTTTGCTCAAAATCCTGAAATTTGAAATTTAAAACTTCCACGGGTTACACAGGAATATTTTTGCCAAACCTCAGCAAAAACGAAACTCAAGATCGGTTTCAAATGTGTCCATCATCTCCGTGGCTTTTATCTGCAAATGTTATAACTGCGTGTTGTGGTCATCCGATTGCATTGTGAAAGAAAAGGTGTGGAATGGATCACAAAAAGTTGACCATGTAGCATGTAAGTATTGGTGTGTACTGCAAAGTTCCGGAGTCATCAAAATCATAATAAATTTGGCCCAGTCTTGGTAAAGTAACAAGCACTGTACACAGAAAAGGGTATATGGGCTACATAAATGGTGTCGGGGCTACTAACCTTGATTTCCTAATCTTTCTAAGCTCATTACTCAGCCATCATACATTTGTTTGTAATCTTTAACATTCAGTGTAAGTTTCGTTTGATTCTGTGAGAATTCCCTTTCGTTTTTTTTTAACCAGAACTCTCCTTTATCTTTAAAGCAGTCGATATCCCTTTTATATGCCGAATTCAAACAAAAATATACCAAGAATTCTTACCTTATCCTTTTATCGAGTACAGATTGATTAAAACATCACGGAAAATCTGAGATTAACGGGGTTCCTTGCATAATTTGAATATTAGGACACCGCTAACATTTAAATTTCACAGATAGGACATAGACTACATGACATATTCATAATTCCTGCAAAGTTCTACAGAATTTGAGGTTGGCTGCAAAAGGGACATAGTACCTTTAATCCAATTTCGATATCAATATCATTAATGATACTGCCCATCATTCTTTAACACCACCCACGTAATCGATATGACAATCGTATCAGAACACAACAATATGTTGCCCTTTTAAGTGTAAACGAGACCCTCGCCCCATCTCAACTTATCCCTGTTCTGTTATCGTTTTGTTGTCATCTGTTCAATTTATTATTGCCATCCCTCGTTGATGTGTATGCATGGAAGCCCAAATTTCATTTTCATTGTTCAATCATTGATGAGTCCTATTCCCACAACGAATGAGCCATATCGTCTGCGCAACAACTTTTCGCGCCGTTCCAATTACTAAACCAATCCTGAGAGCTTGGCATGGTACACGTAAAGCATCACACCCTCCCCCGCTATTTTTGTGTAATTTAGATACGGTAATGATATCTATATAATCGCTCATACATCCCCCGCAATTATCAGAAGAGGATCCAGGATTCTGGAGCAGAAGGTAAAAGAGAAACGTAGGGGTAAATCCGGGGGAAATCCCCGCCAAGCAAGCAACCTAGAGAAGGAAATTGGTGTAATCTATAATATAATATAATATAATAACGTTTTATTTACCCAGGGTAGCCACTTCAGTTATGAAACTGCTCTTCCAGCGGGCCCTGCATGACATAATATGTTATTATTACTACCCTACTCCAATCTAATATGCTGAGCGCCTAGCTAGAAGGCAGAAGGTCCCATTGGTATAAGTCTTATGGTATGACTCGGCCGGGGTTCGAACCCACGACCTCCCGTTCATGAGGCGGGTGCTCTAACCACTGAGCCACCATGACTCAGGTACACAAATCGATAAGGAGGGGGCACTTATTGGCGTGTACCTAAGGTATGACAGAATGGGTTTTGAAAAGGGGGCATGTGCCCTTTAAGCCCCCCACCTCTACGCCACT